GAGGGAGAGTTTTGACTTCAGGGGCTTTGGGTGGCTTGGGGTTTAGGACTTGGAGTTTGCAATTCAGGTCCTGGGGTTTAAGGTTCACGGCTTGGAGTCTGAGATTGAGGTTCCAAGGAGTTTGGTTTAGGTTTGTGGGGGTAAGACTAGGATTTGGACACTGCTTTTGGCTTAAGATTGGAGGGCTTTTGTCTTCAGGGATTTCAGTGTTGGTGCTTGAAGTTCAGGACCTAGGGCCTGTTTGGAAAGCCATTTAGGGTGTAGGGCTCTTAATCTTTGTTTTACACGTTTATAATGCAAGCTTTGGGATGAAGGCTTCGGAGATGAGAGTTTAGGACTTGGGTTCGGCATATGTGCAACATGTAGTATCTTATGGATTTCAATCTAAAGGCGCAGGGTTTGGGTCTGGGGTATGAGGTTCAGAGTGGAAAGTTCATGAATTTAGATTTAGGGGGTCTGGTGCGGATCTTTGAGGGATTGTGCTGAGGTTGTGAATTATCATAAAGAGTTGTGGCTTTGATATGTTTTGTGTAACAGACAGCCTTTGAGTTCAACGCTTTGGGTTTCGAGATTGTCCATTCTTTGGAATGGAAAAATCGAAATTAGTCGTATGTTGGCGGGTTGAAGATACCAAACGCAAGTGTTGGGGACGAAGGGTTCGGGGTTGAAGGCATCATATTATGCAGTCAAAGCAACCGTTCCGAACTTTAAGCACAGGATCCTAAAGCGTGAAGAAATCGTACTCATCATGGCACTGTGAATGTGTGTCTAGGGCTCCTGGAAATCTATGGAGTGTTGGCCCTGTACTGAGGGCCAACGAGGGAGAGACCCGCGATGCACGCTCTCTGGCCGCTTGCCCGCCCCGCAGCACGTAAATAGCTTTAGAAGAACAAGAGGGCCAGTCTAACCACTAAAAAGCTACAACATGCGTGGCAATGCAGACAAGGTGAAATCATTTCCGGCAAGGGTCCCAGAAGCACGGCCTTTCTTGATATTAGATGGGCCAACATCAGGCATCTGATGCTGTCATCAATCAAACCTGCTCAAGGTATAAGTAGAAGCCCAGAACCTGCGGCAGTGCACATCACACTGAACCATACCATCTCCAGTCACCACAATGTTCATTTACATCTGACTATCCAACATACAGGCACATGCCTGCATGAAATTCCTTGAGACCATCAAGCTTTAAGCAGGTCCTTTTGGTATGGCGGGCAGCAATCAGAGAGGAACATAGAAAGACCGATTCTGCTGAATCGCAAAAACTGCCGGCAGATGGATGGAATTACGACTGAGGGCAAGACGGCCCCAGGTCCACCACATGAATCTTCTCCCTGCCGCCGCACCACACAGCTGATTACATGAGAGCTGGGCGTCTCATCCGAAATTCAGCAAGACGCTCTGCTTCCGAACACAGGCGACCAAAATTGCAAGAGGTCCTCACATGTCTCTTTTCAGGGTGAGCGCTCCCTTCTACTTGTCTGAGCCCACGCCCTTGGAAGCAATGGGCTGTGAAACGAGGTGTCTCGTCAGACAGCTATCCTACCCGAATTCGCTGCGTCAATGCAAGCCCTCCGTGATGGCCAGAGCAGAAGTCTTCTGAATATACCTGCTCAGCACCAAGACCAAATCTTTACGTGAAGACAATGAGCACAGAGCTCATGCCGCCAGAAAAGCCCACAGCCCCGTGTATTACAAGAGAAAAGAATAGTGGATGGTTGACATGGCAGGCGCCTGCAGACCTCAGAGATCCAGACCTCTTCTATTCCAGACCGCCAACCCCCGAGCTGGAGCTTCAGAAGGCTTCACAGAATCGACAGAAACAGTAGGATCCAATTGCTACCATCCACAGACCCCACTCATTCACAAGGTCTCGTGTGGGGACATGATTCTTTCAAGTGTGCCCTTGTGCGAGGGTAAGTGAAAGTCTTGAGCCAGCAACCAGCAACTACCCATTTTCCCGACGGTCCAGGAAGAAACTGAAAACTCTCGAACCCCAAACTCTCAAACTGACAACTCGACGAAAAAAACAGACAAAATTGATAAGTACCCGAGAAACCAGGGCACCTGAGGTCCGGTTCCAAGAGGCGCTTCGTCATCCAATCCTCGGCCAGACAACAATGACAAGAGTGACAGCAAGTTGCGACTAGATGCTTACTTCAAACCTTCAACCATAGCATGAGAAGTGATGGCATTGGAGTGCTGATCTTTATGGTGAGTCTACTCGAAAAAGTGACCGAATGCTGGGGGATTGTCGTTACACGGTCAGCATGTAAGCACGCAGATTATGGTGAAAATAAGGTCTTAGGGTTAGATAATCCTGCGTGGGTTCCCACCCTTGCAGGCTTCACAAACAAGTGTGACAGCCCAAAACCACAAAAACAAATCTGTGCATTTCGAAAGCTATCTGCAGCTAAATGCCAGGATTGACGCCTGGACAGAAGTTCACCAGTTATATTCTTCATTGTCCAGTTGCACCTTTGTTATGAGATCGTCTGTACAAATTAGAGGCGGCCTTGGTGGTACCGTCACACCTTCGTTTTCCAAAGATCTGATGCAAATATCATTTTGCCGAAAGCTCAAATTAAGAGGCTACTGTGTGATCTCTGTAGAAAATGAGGGCTTTACTGCTTGAGGCTGCAAGGCCTCAGCAGTTGTGGTACCACAGGCCATCAAGCTTGAGGGATGAACACTGATATGAACCATAGTCTAAACTCCTAGTACCCTCCTTCATAATCCCCATTTAGAAGTCCCGCTATATAGAAGTCCCCTCTATGTAACCCCTTCAAGGACTTGAGACTACAGCTCATATGAACCCGCGATCAGATCTGTAAAATCCTTCCAACCCCTCTACTTGGAGGGTCAGGGGGACCTAGTAAGCGGCTGATAACCCCTATAACCCATATAGTAACCCTAATTTTCCGCATTAGTAACCGACTTACTAAGTCCACATGACCCTCCAAGTATAGGCTGCCAACGACAATGCTCAGACTAGGAGCTCAAGAAAGTCCAGAACAAAGTATTCCAACTCTGACAGCAAAGCCTGCTGCCTAGACCCTCCTCCTGGAGAATCAACCCCCACACTGCTCCGTAATTTTTGCACCTTAGCCCGTCTTTCGAAGTACTTGTCAAACAAGGGGGTTGTAAACCTGTGACGCGCGCAGCTGGGAGCCCGGCGGATGTCTTGGCGTGGATCAACTTGGGGAGCCTCGAAACGAAATCCAGAGCCTGTGCACTGGGACAGCTCTCTTCAGCTAAGTAAGATAGATTAGCATCCTTGTCGCTGAACCCAGCGGAGGACACTTGCTAAAGGATATTCTCAAAGCGCTTCTGCAGATACTTGCCACGTCTTGCGTAGTGATGAGTTGAGGCATTTTTGGGGACTTACATATGGGACCCCTCACAACACTGCCACAGCCTTGGTTTGGGACTTGGTTTACAAACCCCACCATGTGCTTCGGGGAGGCTGCTTTGGCCTGGGCTTCAGATCTTTTGCACCTATTACCTATAGTTCCCTTGCCAGGGGTCATACAATTACGTAATCCCACTCTACTCTCGTTCCCTGACACAAAAGCACTAACTCACCTTGTCCCTGTACGGCCACCCATAATGCTGACACACAATCCCTTTGCGCCTCCCGGGCAGCCAGCACAGCTGCGTGGAAGCTCTTGAGGTGCCTCATGAACTGCCGATTCTCCTGTCACAGGCAGTCTTGTTTTTTTGGGTGGTTATATAGGGAGTATGGGGTATCTCTATATATTTATATCTATATGTATATGTATATATATGGGATTATGTAGGGATAGTGGAGAAGAAAATGGAAGCTACTATTGAGGGGTTTTGAGGTCTAGGTAGCTTGAAAGATCAAAAATTTAAAAGACTTCCAGAACCCACAGCCATGCACCCAATCTGAAGGCCCCAAGTTCCCAACCCAAAACCCAGAACCCAAAACACAACTTGTCCAGACTTGCTCAACCTCCAAGTCTCAAAGGCGCCTTGAGCTGGGGGCTTAGCCGCTGCTCTGGGATCTTCATGACCTCTGTTGATGATGAAAAACTGGAAAGCCGTTCTGTAGGGTCTTTATGGCAACTGTTGACTTTGGGCAAGTGTCGGGGTGATCATAGCTGGAAGGATCTAAAGAAGCTTGGGACTTTACAGCCGAGCATTACAAGACCAGGGGCTAGCTAGCTTAGACTCTAATGATTGTACATGACAAGTTGGCTCTAGTGGAAGACAAACATCTGCAACCACAACTCCCTCAGAGATACCTAATTGAGCTGGCGAAGTGAGATGCACCACGCGCTTCCACATGGATAGTGTCCATAATGAAGCGAGGCGGTGCCTACTTCTACCTGCTGTCACACATGCTTTCTGTTCCACGTATGGAATCGTTGCCGACGAACATTGCTGGGTGTTTTACCAGGCATTGAAGTGGAAAGTGGAAAAAGAGCTCAGCAGAATAAACTTCGCACAGCAAGTCCTGGAAGGAGACGCATGATCACACGATCGGGATCGATCATAACATCATGCTAGAAGAAAACTGAGCCTACTAATGCCTACCGCATCTCACGACATCTGTTTGTGTCTGTCTAAGCTCCGCACGTACAGTCTGAGCTCCAAGTATTCCTTGGAAGAGTCGGCAGGTTGCTGCTCATGACGGGAAATTTGGCACCGTTTAAAGGAGTCCAGATTGCTTGTCATGTACAGGATTTCGCAAGCAGAAGGGACAAGTGCATCAACAGCTTGGAACAACCACAGGGCTAGTTATCATCTTCAAGAGGCATTGCCCCAACTTCATTCGCAAGCCTTTCATGCTGGCTGGCGCGCTCAGAAGGGAAACCGCATGGCTGGAAAGGTAAGCTTTCCACATTGCGGCAGGGCCTGCACTTCTAAAGTACGGGAAGCAAGATGAGAAAGCGGTTGAAGAACAACACTTTTTGACTGGAAGCCTTGGCGACTTCCAGGACTACAGGACCAGCTGCAACAGCTGCAGTCCTCCACTACCCAGCAAGCCGAGAACCTACCCTGCAAGACCGTGTCCGCCTGGCCCACTTAAGCACTGACAAGCGCACGGCATATAACCCATGGAACCCCAAACTCCAAAACATCTCAAACACGACCCAAGGCACGTAGATGAGATGTTTGGCCAGATGAAGCCACTCTTCTGTGCCTCATGAAAGGGCCGTGGAAGTCAGGATCATTTCAGGAACAACGCTTCGCTGCCGAGACGTTCGGAAGCGGTGTCCAAGTGGCACTTCGTACAAGTATCAAAACATCGTAGCTTGCACAAGAAGACAAGGAAGCTTGACGATAAGGACGACAGAACCAAAGCCCTATTGCTTGAGAAATTGCCAAGTGGCACTTGGACTCATAGAAGATGCAGGCTTCAGCCAGCGGAATTACATCGGTCGGGAGCTTGTCAGACGCAGTCTCGGGAAACAGCCTGGGACTCAGGGAGTATAGGATAGGAAGTCACAGAACACCTCGCATTCCTGAAACTGTTTTGATGGCAACTTCACTTTGTCACCACGGCATGCGCTGCTTGACAAGTACTTTAAACTGCTGGAAAGAGGCTTGTTGGTGAACTGCTCCTGGGCGCAGGCTTGTTTACCATACACCCTTGCTTGTACCACGGCAGATTGGCATTCATCCCCCTCTCAGATAAAAGTTTCCGCACACTGTGAACAGTAAGCACTCTAAACCGAAAATAAGAGCAAAAACGGTTTGACTGATCCGAAAACACGGACTTTCGCGCTTTCATCAAGATACAGGGGTCATTACTTAATAAAGGCACATAGCAACAGGGGCCCTGATATTTTCAGACACTCTCATCTGCAAGGAGAGCAGAAGCTTGCCAGCAGCAGCCAAGCTTCGACAACCTCAGCTGCCATCCCTGGTGTCATTCAGCTCTAATGATCTAATGGCGAAGCAGCATGAAAGTCTCCAGCAGCATGCTCAATATGAGTGTCAAGGCGGCGAGTGCATCGTTCTCACATTCATTCCTGTTCAGCAATAATGCTGCCCTGAGTGCTGGCCTGGCTTACCTGACTATGACAACTCAAATAATTACGTTCAAATGTGGCACGAGATGGCCAATAGCCATATGGAGTGCATCGGTTTGAATGCCTGCCCTGCATCACCATAAAGTCCCATACAGGACCCTGTACTCCCCAAGAAGCTAGGCATATTCCAAATCCTACTACAGGCGGTACTCTAACGCTACAGCCTCTGACTGAAACCTGAAACTCTTACGAGATGCGGAGACGAAATCATTCTCCAACCGCTGCTTGGCCTCGATATCTCGTCGCCTGGGAGGAACATCTGCTATACCCCAGGTACCAAAGCCAAACGCATCAACATCAAGGCTCTGCCTCCAGGTTTCGACTCTGAGTCCCCAAAAGCAGGGGTTTCAACTACCCCAAACTCCAGCGGTAAAAGCCCATGATGCTGAAGGCTGAAAACCAAGAATTGCCGAAAGCCCACATATCACCAACAACTACACTGAAACATAAAGTAGAATGGCCTGCAACCCCAAAGCATAAATCAAGTTTTTCATGGGCATAGCCCTTTCAAAAGCTCCGAATTGCTTGACTCAGGCTTCTGAAGTACCTTGCACTACGCTGGTCTTTGCCGCAAAGCTGCTCCTCTGACTGCGTCAGCTCAAGCTCTACAGTGATGATTTGCTCCACGTTCTCAAAGACCTGACAGGTGCTGGCCTTGCTTCAAGAGAACCTATGATGCTACTCCACTCCTCGCAAGAAACCCAGCGACTTTTCATGTCCCTTGGCATGAACCTCCCTCCACATTTCTGTCTTGGGTCCATGAAGGAAACTGCAAACACTCTACGGAAGCTGAAATGGCCGGGCTCTTCATCCACAAGCTTTGATCCGGAACCGGACCAAAGAAAGATTCAGGGCTTGGCGATGGAGGCATGGAACAAGTGCCTTGCCCATAACATTCTCGTGTTTGAATTCTCACGCTTCAGTTCGGCTTTGGCCGAGTAAACAATAACCCATGAAAAGAGCAGCGCGGTTTCGGTTAAACGCTCCAGCAGTGTAATAGTCAACTGTCTATCGGCTTCCCATGCTCGTCGTTCACATTGTTATGCTTCTAGGGCATCTCTTCCTTGCACCCTAGGTTGCAGTTTCCACATACTTACAGTACATGTGGGATTGCAGCAGGCTGCACGATCCTTGCGTGGCATCTTACATTGCTTGACAGGAATTTGGACATGTTCTCCTGCACGTGCAAAAAAAAAAACAGAATTGCTTCTCAACCTTACCCCAACTGTCTTGATCTTGGCCGCAGAATCCAAATCAAAACTCGCTATACAGACCCGGAGATACGAGCTACAAGCGCACATGTCCCCGCGTAGGGCCCAAGGATTTTAGTCTCTAATAGGCCTGAGAACCTGACTTGCAACCAGCAAAGAGCAAAGGCCTTGGTCATGATCTCGTGGCGCGCTTTGACAAAGCGCTCCTTCCAAAATCAACATCGCTTCAGCTCTGGTGTGTGAAGCTCTCTACTTCGTCGAGTCGCGAGGTTACAGGGGATTTGGAGTTCAAGACCTCCATCGGTAATCCTGACCATTGTTTAGCAACTGTCTTTGGGGGTCCCTTGGCCTAGAACATGCTGCCCACCTCGAAATCCATCCAGAGACGATCGAAGAGCTCAATGTCATCCTGAAATGTGCTGAGGGGACTCGGACCCAGCGCTTGCAGAATGCGGACAACCAGAATTGAGAAACTCGGTTGTAAGGTTTCAAGATCATGCCGTACTGGCATGAGCCGGCATTGAACTTCCTGAAAACAGCTTCACTTGCCGGTGCCCAACCATGAGGCTCGAATTCCAAGGCTGGTTGACTGGATGATTCCAACATCATCCAGAAACGGCGACTTGCTCTAGCTGAACAGATTCGATACTCTCCATCATGCTTCCTAGCCACGTTTGCTAGACAAACTGTAACAAGCAAGCTTCTTCAATCTCGTGCCCTCAGGCCAAAACTCGTTTCCTGCAATCTGGAGAGTCATCTTGCATTGAAAGCCATGCCTCTGTGCCAAGTGCAGCAGTCTCATGTGAGGCCTCTGATAGGGGTTACAGTACGCCCGCCTTACAACCTAGAATAAACCTCAAACGCCCTCTTAGCTCCAAAGCGAGCTTAACCAGGTCCAGGATGCCTTCAACTCCGATTTGAAGCGTGGGAGACCAGTTGCAAAGTCATCCTGCAAGCCGTGCAGAAAGGTTGGGCTCAAGGTCTAACAACAATGCTAGTCCAATTTCGAGAAAGGAGCGTCAATGACATGAAGACCCGTGGCAGTCAAATCCGATTTTGAGACATCCCTGCAACGCGAAAGTAAGGCCGTGTAGGCTTTTGGTTTGGTCATGTTTGTTGGCAGGCACTCTGCTCCTAAAGAAGTAGCATCTCAAACTCTCATGGTATGGCTTCACATTGACGTGCAGCGAAACTTACAGCCCCAGCACAACAGGGTTAGTTTGTTCCTCAGGGTGTATGCGAGAAGAAGACGAAGAACTCCGGACTACTTGGTTCCTCCACCAACCCAGGGCTCTGTGGCAGGTGGAAATCTTGCAGCACTGACGATACCTGCTTGCTCATAAAGGATGGGTATGAAAATGATAGCACTTGGCATACAAAACGGTTGCTCTTTCAGCCACTGGTCCTTGAAAACCTCATGATCCTGACAGCTCCTCAACGTGAGACCCCCGCAGCTTCAGGAGTCCTTGAGTCGCGGCTCAATCTCACTTGCAATCTTCGTCATGGTGCTGTCGACCTCTTTCAAGAAGCTCTCCTGAGAAAAGAGACACACGCATGTCAGTGCTGGCCACGGCCTCAATGGCGACCAAACCCTTCAAGATCCTTCGAAGCCCAGACACAAACAGGTTCTCCAAATCTAGAAGCATCTGCAATCCCTGCTTTCCCTGAACTTTCAAGAATTGGCTGATACCAAGTGACATGTTGGTGCAGCTTTTAACAACGAATCCTGATCAGGAAAGCGCTTTTGAAGATGCAGTTGAATTTCATTTGGTATTCTGCAGTGCTCTTGTACCTCAAACTGCCTTACAATATCTTGCATACTCAGGACTCACCCCGCAACAAAAATGCGGTCTGGGCTTCTGATGACAGAAAAAAGGAAAATGCAACACCGCAGCAATCTCAAACTTCAAGCCGCTCCATAGCTCGCAAAACCCCGTCACATGAGCTTTTGGTACAATAAAAAGTTGATAGAAGGGCTCATACATCAACCCAGCAATGTCGATACCTCCCCCGCGTTCCAAATACCCAAATATTGCAGGAAGGGCAGCAAATAGAACTGCCTCACGTGCAGCTAAGGGACTGCTAAGAGCTTGATCTCGTCCGGGTACGTATGCAGCACTCCATTGAAGGTTCTGAGATTCGCATGGGGAACTTGGGGGTCTAGAAACCCATCACAACGGGAGGGTTCGCATAAAAAAAAAGATGGCAACAATGACAATCAGCACCATGTCAAGTAGTGAATGATGTGACAAGCAGGTGTATTCTGTTGTCGAGGCACACGCCAGGTCTTTCCTGGGCTTCCCTCGCCTGCAGAATTCATGCTCAAGAGGAGACACCGCGCAGACACAGGACAAAGTAAGATAGTACTAGTACTACTACAATGACTATCGCCATGAATATTACTATTAGTGTACCTATATTACCATTGCTATATTGGCTTGCTACAGCTCCAAGTCCACCTGTCGGATGACGTTGACGTCGAAGCCCATGGGAAAGAACTGCGGCGTCGGCGACAGAAGCCTCAACTGAGGATACGCACGAGCATACCCCGTGAATCCCCTAAACGGGCGCACTCCACAATGCTAGGGCTAGCGTATTACAGTCTAGTATTCTATAGTAAAATATTGTAATGTGTCATAGTATATTGCATTATATCATATAGATGTGGGCTAACCTAGCCGTCGACGCGTCCTGGAGCTTGGGTGCCAACACGAAGCGCACAGAAAAGCAATACTTTCTGATTGAGAGCAGTTGGGATCTTTGGAGTGTTAGATCATCAAAGGACTATAAAAACGAAGAAGCTCCCATGGCGATGTGAGTGATCGTCCATCTGCTCTTGGTCTTGGTCTTGTAAGTAAAAAAACTCACGGAAAAGGGAGGAATAGCATAGACATGGATACAATGCCTCTGACCTTTGCCGAAATTCCAATAAATTAAGTGGCCTTTCCGGCTTGACATGCTCAGCTCCTGCAAATAGGGAAGGGATGCTGAGCCTGGACACACCCCCACGTCATGTACAGATTAGATGGCAGTGCTCGATTGGTCAGCAACAACGACGACGACAACCTGTTATGCCTCTGTTCTAAAGCAACGTTGTTACAAGAGGAGACCAATCATCATGTCTGTCTGAGGGTCCAGCCGGTGAAAAAAGTTGAACCTGTAGTCCTGCAGTCATGCTGACTCATTGACTGCCTAGACTTGGTCACAAACAACTCCTTCGAGACTCGAAGTGACAAGGGACATGAACAATAGATCTTATGGATGGTCAAGTGAACGCTCATCATGACGAGATTTGTCCAACGAGAACTGTTCGTATTTCATTCAACAACTACAGCAAGGGCGTACAACCTTGTGACCATGCAGGGGAGCCAAACAAATTCGGCATTTTTGCTTGAAGCTTTTCATGATCACAAAAAGAATTGTTGCCGAATGCCTGTTAGATTTGGATAAAGTGCTGTTCTGAATTCTGACTACCAACCCACATCAACGGGTTGTCGACTACACCAAGCAACACATAAACGCCCAATGAGGTTGGATCTGGTGGGATGTGAAATCATAACTCGCTTGTCCGCATTGTGCTCTTAAGTAGCTTGCTGGGGATTTCTCAGAACACCGCAGAAAATGTTTTTGGAAACCATTACACATGTTATCATGTCATCAGTCCGATGAAAGATGCAGTCTTGAGTTGTAAGATCTTCAGGGCGTCTAGCCCCCTACGATCCTCGTCAACAAAATGGAGTGCGAAAATATACTAAGAGACCACAGTCGTAGCAGCCTGGAGAAGCGCAGCACCTTGCTCCAAGACATTGTGTAAGACTCTTGAGCAAAAGATGCTAAGGGCAAGGTGGCAAGGTAGCTTCTTAGTAATCTTCAGCATGGGCTCTGCAAGCTGAGTTCAACCTGGGAGTTCAAGGTATCAGGCGGCTGTTCAGATCTTGCCGTTGGTAGGAATGCTAAGGCTACCTTATCTTGAAAACATGTAACAATGATTTTAATCCGGCTGTCCTTGTTGGAGTGGATACCCAAATACTCGGCTAGTAGGCCGACCATGTTCAGGAACCGAGCGACCTGGAGACCGTGTTGTGGAGATGGAGAAGGCTGAATATGAGCTGACAGGAATGATACACAGCCTTTGGCAAGAAGCTATACAGCAGTTCCCCTGGAGCCAGAAGTTCCAGAATGAGCATGAAATGGGGCAAACAATTATTCTATTCAATCCCATGTAGGGCTGAACTCGCAAGGCTGTTCCGGAAGTTAAACTTCAAGCTCATCATACCGCCACACATTCGCCTTGTGGGTGACCCTATCAATGGACCCAAAGGGAAGCAAAATCTTGCATGAATCAATGAATCGACAATCCTAGAAGACACCTATTCAACTGCATGTCTGTAGACCCCACCACATCTCAAGCTCGGCCTTTTTGTATGCGAACTCATCCAGAGCATCGGTAGCAACAAAAGGAAGACTTTCCTGGATCTCTTTGCATTCCTGCACGGGGCACAATCAGAACATTTCTGCTCCATGCACCTTCGCCAAGGCCCCTCCTAAGCTGGGTGGCAAAAACACCGCACTCAGCAGAACCAAAGGATCACAACCCTAAGGCACGAAACCCTCAACCCCACCCATACCAACACAACGAAGACTCTCCCGCTTGAGGCCTAGGTTACAAAACTTGAGACCTGCCTGGAGTAGGCAGTACTCACGTGTGCCCTTGAAGCGCACGACGTCCGGGGTGCCGGTGAGCTTCGCCTTCTTCTTGCCCTGGACCAGAAGCACATGGAAAATTCAGGTATTCGCACTTTGCGTTTAAGACTTGGGATGCTGGCTTTGTGGCGGGGTTTCAGGCACTGAGGGTTTTGAGTGGTAGGCCCGAATCTGGACACGTCGTAGTAGAGCCTCAAAAAGCTACCAAGATGTGCTTCGTAATTTGAAGAGTTTTTGAGTTGTGGGCAGCCCTTGCGAATCCTGTGCGGCATTTTGGCACTTCAAAATCAAATTCTGCGTAAACCCTGATCCGTTCTACATGAGAATGTGGGATTCATGATAAGACACATGCTGAGCACTGACAGAGCTGTGCTACCACACGATTCCTATGCAACCATCACAAACCCACCGCTCTCAGTATGCTGAATCCCAAAGCCCATATACATAAACCCCAAACTATTCCCCCTAATAATGTTACCTGTCACTTATAGGGGTACGTACGGGAATGGAACCTTAATTTGTAAGCTGCTTTTTTCATGCCCCTTCCTCCGCCCAAACACATCAAATTCAGGCCCTTGCCTTTTTTCCCATGTTGGGACCTCAGCGCGATAGCTGAGCCACTGAGAAAAACTCTTTCCTCATGAATTCAACCTTCAGAATCTTATCCCTACATGCCGTTTTCCGACTGTGGCATACAAACCTGGTGGTAGATTTCTTTAGAATGTTTCAAGGTTGTGTTTCCGCCAGGCTCACAGTGTATAATCTGCCACACGGGATATGATATGGATAGCAATACACTGAACAAAACCTGGAAAGGGCTTCAGAGGAGACCGTAGAGGAGACACAAACTTGGCAAAGCAGACGCTGATGGCTGAAGCAGCAATCTTAGTGACAGGAAAACGGTTTGACAACGCTGGAAGCACCCATTTGGCAGCCTCGCCTTGATCATTCTACTTACGCCTAAATGCTAGCAGCTAGCCCATCAAACTGTGACTATTCTCGCAAAAGAAAGATTACTCCGCCAAAATTGTCCAACCCATTCTGGGAGAGCCCAATCTAAAGTCCAACCCTTCACCGAGCCAAGCAACTATGTTGGGGCAACCAAATGAGAAGGAGCCAAAAGCCTATTGCCTTCAGCTGCCCTCCCTCTGAGCCAAATTGCCAGGCGTGAACGCGCGGAGCTTAGCTTTGCCTGTTTTGTTTCTGCTATACAAACTGAGCCCCCTCCAAGCAAGCACAAGCAATTCCAAATAGCTGAACCGCATCGTGAACTCCCTGAGGTCCTCAAAACATGTACCGTGGAACATGAATTTTAGGTACCATGATTTCATGGAATCTGACAAACATGCCAGCACGCATCCAGCCTAGGGTAGCCAAGAAGTCGTAGGGATGACCTTGCAATCTGAAAAGGCAACGTACCTAAGAAATGTTAACTTATGTTCAAACACCTCAGGTCGACTAATCCGTTTTCCCACAAAGCACTACTGGAGATGCACTTGTGGTGAACCAGCATCGATGCGCCATCGTGAAGAAATATCATTGACTAGTGCAAATTCGTCAGGTTTTAACCACTGCTCAGTCTCATTGCTATCATGGCGGTCGGCGAAACAACACAAGGCAAACACATCACATGAAATGCACAAACGTCTGAGATGTTTGCCGCCAGAAAGCAAAAACTGCTCGATAGTTGTCCGACGTCACCTCAGCTGATGCTGCTGCGAATGCCACTTAAAGGAGCTTCTTGCTTCATGCTGAATCCCTACTTGGGTGGGAATTACGATACAGCTTCTGAAAATTATTCAATACCCTCTGCAATTTGGGGGACTCAGTCATGTATCCTGCTGCCCAAAAAACTTTTGCAGAAGGCTTTAACAGCCAGCCTTTACATGTGAAGGCCAAGATCCAGTGGAATCTGCTGCCAGAGGTTCAGCCGTTCCTTTCCTTCATGTGATTACATTGATATGCACTCCCCCATTCCCTTCCACTTCCCTTGCTTATGTAAAAAGAAACCCAGAACCCTAATTGTGATACCCGAATGTGTTCGGGGTTCTTTTGTTGCAATGGCTACCCACCCATTTTGTTTGGGGTGCCTCCTACAAAAATTGAGGCTGTCGATTAAAAAAACTCTGTAAATCTCAAGAAGCTTATTCTGTGGAACCCAATGTGTTTGCAGACTTATTATCTAGGTGGGGAGCGCTCTGATGAATCAAGGGTACTGATGAAACAGCATCCCACATTACCCTCATTCTACCCTGTCTGTGTTTTACACCACACATCCTAAGGAAAAAATATACAAGTTTCCATGTCATGTTGCATTTTCCTGTCCAGTTGGCTTTTCATTCCCGGGCAAGGATGGCATAGGTGTACATGCAACAACGCCACCACTTCCAACGCTGAGGGCTCTTAGCTGGTCCGTTTTTCCCACATGCCGGAAAAACGTTAAAGCGGGCACTTCCACATGCGCATGTCTGAACACCGGCCATCTGCAACAATTAAAGTTCAAACCTGATTGAGCAATGCAACTTTGTGCATCTGTGGGCAGCTTCAAAACACTGTGCATGCAATGATCCAAAATCAAGCCTAGGAGCCGCCAAGATAGGCAAAAGCATTCCTGGCAGATGGACGCGAATGCGGTGGCAAATTGCAATGCAAGTGAAACACTTTCTGAACACAGAAACCCGACCTGCTGCAATATTTGTTTGCCACATATACCCAGTCAAACATTGCCAGCAAAGTCCCACAAGCCCCTCCTGCGACAGATTCCGGCAGCCAGTCCAGAACTTCTTCTTCGCCATCCATCAAACCTTACATGTTCATGCAAATAGGAGAGTACACCCATTGACATGCCCACACATCCAAATTCCCCATGCTTGCTTTGCTGGCTTCAACAAACATCGGCACATAAAAACACGTGATATGATATTTAAAAAGTGTTACACATGCAAACCACGATTCTTTCCACACCCCATGACGAGTTGTTGCAATAATGAACATGCAGCATGTCCGTGCACCCTGCCTGTTGTCCCGCAAAACCTACAAGCTCAGCATTGCTCCATGAGGCCAGCTACACTGTCATCATATCGCTGAAAACATCTATTGCTTTGCTGCGAATTCACGCGCGTACACACACAGCCACGGCCAGGGACCAAGATTTCGGTAACAGCGTTGAAGCAGCATGATATGTTTGTCTCAACTGACTTTTGTGGGAAAACAAATCCTTGTCGTTGGCTAAATTGTCCCTAACTTGCTCGGAAGCGCTGCTGGCTGGAAGCAAGAAAATGCAAGCTCATCCTCTATTCGAAATAAGACGCTCAGAAAAGAATCTTTTTCCGAGAGGAAAGCTTGCACCCGGCCATCAAAATGTTCTAAGGTCTGCGTCGCATGTTTGAACGGCTGTTTACAACGCTAACACCGCTTGCAAAACTCAACAAACACATGTGCACGCAGAACATGGAAGGCCAACTCTGCGGCTCCGCAATGCACATCCGCAGGCCAGCTAATGTTGCGCACAACAGCATTCATCACTTCACCATGACAGAAGATTGCCTTGGCTATCTTGTTTGGGGGGGTTTTTTCGGGCGCACTGCTCACTTGTTGCCCATGTGAATGCTTGCTCAACTATCCAAATTTCGTTCGACCGTCATGTCCGTTCACCGTTTTTATGATTGTTTGCTGTACATACCATGGAGGTGATTTTGGCCCATTCTCACAAGGATGGAAGCTTGTGTCGAATGTACACCTGGTTACAAACAGGTAGCGAACCGATGGGGCACCAACAATCCAATTTTCAACCTTCTGATTGGCGGAAGAAGTGGTATGAAAATCATCTTTGTTTTACTTAACATGACTAAAAATGAATGTTTTTGAAACAATGGCCTTCGAATGAAGCGCCTTGTGTGCGCTGGGAGGATCACACCAGGACATGCGTCACGAAGCGTGAAACATTTGTGAAGGCAGAAATACCTTCCAGAACCTGGTTTAAAATGCGATTATGACACGCAGTGTTTGTCAAACCCCAAGAAAAAAAAGAAAAACACTCGGACTTTTCACGATACTCTGAGCCTCACATGAACCTTTCCTCGAACGCTGCTTTATACAACCTGGCGCACTAATCTCTTAGCAGGTGAAGGGCCGCTTAGGTATCTGGCAGAGCCAAATGGTTACGGCTCTGGATCAAACTGATAGCACAGCCACACCTTGAGGCATTCTCTGGCACGGACATCTTGCAAACGGTGGTGAGATTCCAATGCGTAACTGGGATGTCGTAAGACACAAGACATCAGCACACGGAAGGCCGCAAGGCTGGCTTTGTCGGATCTCTGTCGCACAGAGAAGGCACTCTGCTGGGTGAGAGTGCGTGTTTGGCTCTTAGGCTTTTTTGACCTGCTGGCAGTAAACTTGCGCATGGAGCGGAAAACATCTTGCTCTCTGTCTGACTTGCAGGATTTAAACTGCTGGGACTGGGATGCTTACGCCGCTTTCTTAAAGACAAAGGACATGGAGTCATTCAACTTTGCAACATGTTTGATTTTTCTGTCTAATATAGCTTCCCTTGTCAACGCGGTTAGATTCCAGTCATCCATAACCAAGTTTCTTGATGCTGCCAATGAGCTTGGGCTGCGTTGGTTTCAACATTGTTGGCCATGTGTAACTGATTTGAGTTTTTGTTGCAAGGACCGTAAGCACCCTTTTCGAAGTGTACTGCGGCAGATGCAACTAGAACACTTGCTGGTTGATTGTAATGTCCAACTTCCCAACCAGCCGACTCAGCTCGAAATCCACGGGACACGCAGAATATACTCGCAAGTCTACCCAAACGGAAAGCATTCAAGAGCATCTCTCCATCTCAAGCTGCTCCTTCGAGATGCCCAGGTCATTGTTGAGGCCAGTTACCTAAGGGTCTCTCGTTCTCAAGGTCATTGTGCACAGCTGAACTGACCTGCCTGTGCTAATGCAAAGAGGGCAGGTTGGCAAGATGTTAAAAAGGGAATGCCAAAAGAACATTCTTGCTGGGATCCTTGGAGTGCTTTGGAAGAAGCTAGAAGAGTTGAAGAGCC